AACTTAACAAAACTGTAGGCAATATAATAGTAGAGACTAGTTTTAATATAAACTACTCAATAGACTTTTTCCCAATAATTGAGTCAATAGTTCCAAGTATTCTTGACAGTCAAGTTGTTATCCTGGGCATAATCTAGTTTTAGCTTCTGAAAAAGAAATCTAGGTTCAAAAAAAAAAAATAGCCAATTTTTGGATTGGAAAAATTGTTGGATCTGAAAGTCGTGGTTTTTCAAAGTGTTGAACTGATGAAGTAAGTATTCTGGAAATATCCTAGGTATATTAAAAGTCTTGAAGTTCTTTGTGGTTGGGAACCAAGCCCTCTATTTTAAGCCAAATATCTTAAACATAAACTCTTGACCAAGTTAAAGTGCTAAATCATATGCTTGGCAGGAGCTTAGCATTCATGTTTTAACTGCATGCTCTACCATCTTCAGCCAAATGTCAATCATTATTTTCCATTTTCAGCATGTTTGCCACATATTTAAGAGGGAAAGTGAGATGGAGGCGGGGAATGAGTTTCAAATAGTTCTTAGATTTCTTAATGCAGTTTAGATACAGACCAGACATCAACTCCTTTATGTGCTATTGAGGTCTAGTTCTTGAAGAACTCCTCAAACAATGACCTACTTCAGACTGCACATTTGTCTTAATAGACGAGTGGCAACTGGTGGTTTATGTGACAGAGCTAGATGTCTGTGTTTACTGAATACCTGTGTTATTTATTTTTTATTATGTAAGGACTTATCCCAAAGTTTAGCAGCCTAAAACAATAAACATTTACTGTCACAGTCCTGTGGGTCAGGAATCTGGGAGCAGCCCAGCTGGGTGCCCCCACCTCAGAGTCACATAAAGTGCAAGCAGTCGACTGAAACAGCTGTCTCATCTGAGGACTTGATGGTGGGAAGATGACCTTCGAAACTTGCAACGTTCGAAACCTAGGATTTAACATTCTTCAGCAAAACCTCCCCGTGCTCACCCCACTACTAACGTCAAGAGGCACGTTCAGCACCGGGTGTCACTGTCACACAATGGGCCCACAAGCCAGTGTTGTTACTGAACTGACCCAGCAACCCAGTGTGCCTAACCGCTGAACCAGGACCTTCTGTGGTCTTTAGCACTGTCTGGGTGTTTTTTTTAAAGTGAGGTTGGACAGAATATGTACTTTTAGTTATAGCATAGATATGAAATTTCTTTATAAATTGTTAAGCCCTATACAAATTACGTTCTTGGATTGCTACTGTTTAGAGAAACCAAACTTCCCAATTGTTTGGAAAAGGTGGAATGGGATAAAATACAAATCAACATTATATAACCTACTGTGGAGAGAACAAGTTTCCTAGTATTGACAGTCCCAATCACAGTGTTTTTGACTTTTCTAAAGTGTTTGTGTTAAAAATAAAATTAAAAAAAATACTTTTTTAAGTGTTTGTGTTAAATTAGGTAACATCCCCGTGTTGAATTTGTGGTACTTTTCCATTCCCTGTCTCATGAACAGGTATATCCTGCAACGTGTTCTCTGTGCTCTGCCTTGCTCCTAGATTAGGATCATTCTGTTCTTTCTTAACTCTGCTTTCCTTTTCTCATGATGGTAGTGGGCACTCAGGATTTATTTTGGTGGCAAAGGCAGATGTTTTAGAAAATGGAGCTCTGATTCTCTTTGAGTGACTTCCATAATGTGGGGAGAAATCACTGTGTTGATTGTAAGTGAAGTGAAGTGAAGGTCGCTCAGTGGTGTCCGACTGTTTATGACCCCATGAACTATACAGTCCATGGAATTCTCCAAGCCAGCATACTGGAGTGGGTAGCCTTTCTCTTCTCCAGAGGATCTTTCCAACCCAGGGATTGAACCCAGTCTCCTGCATTGCAGGCGGATTCTTTACCAGCTGAGCCACCAGGGAAGCCCAGGAATACTGGGGTGGGTCGCCTGTCCCTTCTCCAGGGGATCTTCCTGACGCAGGGATCAAACTGGGGTGTCCTGCACTGCAGGCGGATTCTTTACCAACTGAGCTATGAGAACAGTAAGCAACTGCCAAATGAATCTTTGGAAAGTGCTGTGTAATCTGCTGTCCATCAAGGTTCAAGACCTGTGAAGGGTCTCTGATTAGGAATACCTATTTACTCAGTTGCCCTGACATTCGGAACATACTTGCTTCTGTCATTGTTATGCTGAAAATGGAAGTGGTAAAAATAAAAACTGGTTTCCCCCCTTTTATAGCCTATGGGATTATTATTCTGGAGCAGTATTTGAAATAATCATTGACTTCTTTTGTCTCTGTCTAAAATATATTAAACTGATATATTTCATACTGCTGCTAAGTCACTTAAGTCGTGTCTGACTCTTTGCGACCCCATAGACGGCAGCCCACCAGGCTCCCCCGTCCCTGGGATTCTCCAGGCAAGAACACTGGAGTGGGTTGCCATTTCCTTCTCCAATGCATGAAAATGAAATGTAAAAGTGAAGTTGCTCAGTCATGTCTGACTCTTAGCGACCCCATGGACTGCAGCCTACCAGGCTCCTGCTGTCCATGGGATTTTCCAGGCAAGGAGTGGAGTGCCATTGCCTTCTCCAGTATTTCATACTAGGTGCCCTAATTAAACCAACAGTGAATTACATGGGTTCTGTCTTAAATTCTCTTTGAACCATCGATGAATTATTTCTCCACCTTTTTTAATACAGTTTTATTTGCTGGGTCTTCGTTGCTGCGCACTGGCCTTTTCTCTAGTTGGGGTGAGCAGGGGCTGCTGTCGAGCTGTGGTGCTCGGGTTCTTGTTGCTTCTTCTCTTGTTGTGGAGCATGGGCTCTAGGGCACATGGGCTTAAGTAGTTGTGTGTGAGCTCAGTAGTTGTGGTTCCCAGGCTCTGGACCACAGGCTCAATAGTTGAGGCATATGGGCTTAGTTACTCCACAGCATGTTGGATCTTCCCAGACCAGGGATGGAAGTGTCCCACTGCGTTGGCAGGCAGACTCTTTACCACTGAGCCACCAGGGAAGCCCTTATTCTTATTACTCTTCACTATTGTACTTTGTCTTTTAAGATTATATTTTCTAATGTTCATAACAGGTTTGAAAATTGAAAAAACTTCAGTAACTTTTACTGTACCCAGAAGCAGAGAGGAACTTTTTTGTGAATGTTACCAAGACAGAAATAAATGAGAAAATAATGTATTAAAGCTTAAAGATGCCCCAGGGAGCGCTGGGTAGAGGACTGAGATTGAAAGGAGACAGGCTTGAAAGGGAAAATTGCCTAAGCAGGATGATCCATGGATATTTATGGAGTTCCTGATATTGAGGAAGGTTACAAAATATAAAAACTTTCATCTTGTGTTTCAGGAGTTGAGAATCTAGAAAAATTAATACATATGAAACAGAATAGTTAAGTAGTATTAACACCATGCTCATCACGTACAAGTGCTTAGGGTAGGTACTATAGAGAGTAAAGACTACAGTGTTTTGTTGTGCTTTTTAAAATTTTTATTTATTTATTTTTGGCTGTGCTGGGTCTTCATTGCTGTGCCAGGCTTTCATTAGTTGCAGCGATTGGGGGCGGTACAAGGGCCTCTCATCGCAGTAGCATATCTTGTTGCAGAACACGCGCTCTAGGTGCTTGGGCTGAGTAGTTGTGGTGCGAGGGCTTAGTTGGTCCATAGCATGCGGGATCTTCCTGAACCAGGGGTCATGCTTGTGTCCCCTGCAGTGGCTGGCAGATTCTTAACCACTGGACCACCAGGAAAGTCCTACAACTGTTTTTGAAGAATGGTTAAATTTTAAATAAAGAACTGAAAATAAATACATTCCAGATGATAGCAAGTGTACCAAAATGAATTTGGAAGCCAAAAGAATACTCATGAGTGCAGAGAAACAGGCACTTACATAATACCAGGGGGAATTTAAACTCTTATGGCAGCTTGGCAATAAATCACGAGCCTTAAAAAAACAAGCATTCTTTCCTATATGGCAGTTATATTTTTAGGAATCATCTTAAGAAAATCATTAGAGAAAATGAACACAAGAAGTTCATCCCACCTTTATAATACAGAAACATTGGAAATACACCAACTGACAGAATGTCTCTATTAATACGGAAGTGAGAAAGAACAAATGATGGAGCATCATGCTATTACTATAAGAATGGGTGCTTGGGGATTGGGTGTGTGTATATGTGTCTGTATGTACATAGGGGAAGTCAGCAAGCTTATATCCACCACATTGTGAATCATTTTTAACTCTGTATAGTTAGACAGCTGATGACCTTACTTTTTTCCTTTTTGCTTTCCAATATGATCAGTTCAGTCACTCAGTCATTTCCGACTCTGGGACCCCATGAATCACAGCACGCCAGGCCTCCCCATCCATCACCAATTCCATAAACATGTATTATTTTTTGAAATAGGTTTTAAAGAAAAACAGAGCTTAATAAGAATCAGAATAGGGACTTCCCTGGTAGTTCAGTGGCTAAGATTCTGTGCTTCCAGTGGAGGGGGCCCGGGTTCAATCCCTGGTCAAGGAACTAGATCTCACATGCTGTGACTAAGAGTCCACATGCTGAAACTAAAGATCCTGCATGCTACAGCTAAGACCCAGCACAAGCAAAAAAAAAAAAAAAAAAAAAAAATTTTAAACAAAAGAAAAAAATCAGAATAAGGGGCAACTGTTTACAATGTTTATTAAGAATGTATTTTTTCTACCTATTTAAATGTTAGGAAAGCTATGATCTTGGTTAGGTTCTAGAACTTATAGACATTTATCTTGAAAAGGTCCCCTCCCACCCAGCACCCATCCTACTTGCCTGGAAAGGCTAACTAAGCTGAGATGTTTTTTCTTTTAACTCTTAAAGAATTGTACATCGGTATAGGTAACTAGTTACAGACTAACATTTTCTGTTTATCTGTAGTTGACAACTTTGATTTAGAACATCAGAAGCATCTGGAAGAATCTTTTCATTTCCTTGATCCTTGTATCATTTTATCCTTTCTTTTGCTTCTGTGTAGGTTCTGTCATAATGAATGGATCCAGTGTGGCGAATACATCACCCAGTATAAAATCCAAAGAGGACCAGGTGTTAAATGGACATGATGAGAAGGAAAACCCATTTGCAGAGTACATGTGGATGGAGAATGAAGAGGATTTCAACAGACAGGTAAAGAAGTGAAAGGCTAATGATACATGTAGTTCAGCAGCCATATTTTACTATCAGTCTGTCAAAAGAGAAATGTGTTCATTGGCTTTAGAATAACTTAAAAATACGTAGAAGCCTGGTCAGGGCTGACCAAAAAGCAACTTCAGTTGCTAAGAGACCAAACTGAAGATCCCTTGGAGGACGATATTGAAATTTTTCTATCATGCTAATTAAAAGAGGATCTAATGCCATGGTGTTCTGGTGTAGGCTTCTGGGAAACAGTAGCTGTGTGCAGACAGACCAGCCTGGCATGCCCCAAGTAGGAACTTAGGGACTGGCAGAATGCAAGTCTGAGATAGAGAGTGTATTTGGTGGGGGAAGGCTAGACTGCTTCTACAAAGATCCAGCAGTAATCAGTTGTCTTATATCTCTGTGGTTTTAACAGCCCCAGGTAAGCACTTCAGGTAGACAGGTGACTCTGTAACAACTTGATGCCCTCCATCATATCATGTTTCTCTGCCACTCCTGGGGCATTTGGCAACTGTAGGATAACTGGAAGTCTTGCTACAAGTGACTTTTCCTTTGGATTCAACTATATTAGCTAGTTTGGGTGATTATTTTTGCTTGACCAGCCCTCTGGTGGTGGCATATGAAAATGTGAATCAGTCACCAGGCAGCCTGCAGGAAGGGGATGGCCAAACATGAAGCGGGAGGCCTGTTAAAATCACACTAATCTCCAGAGTGAAGCATACTCTGCAAAGAAGTATAAAATATCCTTGCTATATATTGCTTTAGATTTAAGACACTCTTTTTCAGAAATATGCAAGTTGTTTAAACATTCGTATTATTTCTTCTTGTTTTGAAAGAGTTTTCTACTGGTATGCCAGAAAGTGTTCTTTATATCTTTCTAAGGTTCTGAAAGTATTTTTCTCCCAAAGGGGCCTTATTACTAGAAATGTGGACCAGAAGCTGGGAGTTGGTTTTGGTTTAATCTCCACTGTCCAGGTAGTAGTCTAGTTACATAGTTCCTGGACCCTTTTCATACTTGTAAAATGGGAAATTTACGAACTGCCTGTCAATAAGATTGAAAATAAATGTCAAGCTTTAAAATGATTTTCTGTTAAGTGCCATATGAGTGAAAAATATGTGTCACGTATTAGATCTGTGAAGACAGGGAATTTCTGCTATTTTGATTATTTCCTCAGTCTTATTTTTTATGGAATTTGATTGAAAATACTAAAAGTTATATATTTTTTCTAGCCTTTCATTAGAAGCATCGTAATTCTTTTTTTTTCTTTATTTTTATTAGTTGGAGGCTAATTACTTTACAATATTGTAGTGGTTTTTGCCACTACATTGACATGAATCAGCCATGGATTTACATGTGTTCCCCATCCCGATCCCCCCTCCCGCCTCCCTCCCCATCCGATTCCTCTGGGTCTTCCCAGTGCACCAGCCCTGAGCACTTGTAATTCTTAGTAGATCTCATACAAGATCATTCTTAGTTGCAAAGTAATAACCTCTGAAAGAAAGAGGTAGAAAAAAAGCTAGAAAGTGTGAGTCCCACTGGGACAGTTAAGTCTGAGCTCTTCCCCTTTGCTTGCCAGGTGGAGGAGGAGTTGCAGGAGCAAGAATTCCTGGACCGCTGCTTTCAGGAGATGTTGGACGAGGAAGACCAAGACTGGTTTATTCCATCTCGAGACCTGCCTCAGGCCATGGGACAGTTGCAACAACAGTTGAATGGACTGTCGGTCAGTGATGGTCATGATTCTGAAGATATTTTGGTAAGAGCATACGTAGTTCCACATGTGACATAGTGAAAAAAATATAGGATTTGGAGTCACAGTCTCTCTTTTTGGCCGAACAACCTCGGGCAAGCTTTGGCGCCCTCTGAATCACTGTTTCTTCACTCATCACTGGGCATTAACAAGGGGGTGCACTGAAGATGCATTGCACCTCTGAAAGCACCGTGGAAGTGTGATTGCTGCAGCATCACAAACTTTCATTTTCTCCAGCAGGATTTTCAAAACAGAATTGGGATTAAGGATAAAAATTTGAACATGGAAGAGGTTTGGTTTCAAATTATCATTTTTTGTTGTCCTTTTCTCTTACTGTCCCTCAAATCTGTATTTATAGTTTTGAATGATTCTCTTATAAAAACTGCTGGTTCATTTTGGAAGGAATATACTTTAACAGACTGTTTTCCACTTATAATTAGAAGACCAGATAAATGAATTCCCTGCCTTCCATGTTTACTTAATGTCAGAATTCCATAAGTGACATTGTTCTTGCACAATTCATGTCTGAATGATTTTGCCTGGCAGTTTGCTGAGGTTTTAGATCAAGATCTGGTGATTCAAAAGAGTAGATTACCAAAGAAAAGATAGACAAAAATAATATAGGGATTGTGGTAACCAGTCTAGTTTGATGGAGTACTTTGATTTTCATTGAGTTAAGGTACTTGTGAACTGAAAAATTATTTTTGAGTCCAAGTTAACAAGCCTCTAGTGAAAGCATCATGAAGGGAACAGGAGTCTAAAGCAGGAAGGAGAAAACGAGGGAGCAGAGGCTGAGTCTCTCAGGAGCCACTGACAACAGCCCAGTAATAATGGCCTGAGTTGCAAGGAATTCGGTTTTTTCTCTCCTTTGGGCTGAGAGGAAGGTACTGGTAATAACAGAAGCAAGGAGAAAATGAATTTTAAAGTGCTAAAATGCAGCTTGCCTTGGGATTTATTATCTCTTGGTTCTTATTTCAGAGCAAAAGTAACCTGAACCCGGATGCCAAGGAATTTATACCAGGAGTGAAGTACTGAGCTGACAGGAAGCTCTGAGGACTCGAAGTCCCCACCTCCGGGGACATCGCTGCATAGGAAGGCGGAGCTGAAGGGGGGGATGGGCAGGGGGTGCACAGTGGGGAAGGGAGCAGTGGTTTAACTTGACACTGTGACTAGAGTAACTGATGTGCTCAGTCTTTCTCTACAAGCCTCTGAGTATTTCTCTTTTGTTCTACTGACTTTCATTTGAAGCAATTTCCTGTTATTTTTATTAGCTTTTCGATTTAGGGAAATTGCAATCTTTCCCCATGCCCTCATCAGGAATGTTCTGCTGTGTGTGTTTAAAAGAATAAGCTGACCAAGAAAATCTGGGTGTTTAAAGATGCCCTACCCACCCTGCTGTCTACTTACCAAGGGCAGTGAACACCTGGAGCACTACATATTCAGTCTGTTGAGCTGGATGGGAAGAGGGACAGTTGGAAGAAGCAGGTGTTGTAAACCACAGTACACAGCTCCCCGACCCCTGGGGGTTTCCTGCAATGTGCTGGGATTACCACTGGCCTGCTGAGCCCATGTCTCCTTGCCTGAACCCCATTTAAGAAAACACAGGCTTAAAAGTACTGGTTTACCAGTACTTTAGATGGTTGATAAACCAACTTTCATCAACCATCTTTTGATGGTTAATGAAAGTATAGAAGGAGAGGACTGGGATGGTGGTGTCACTTGAGTCATTGATTTACTGTTGACCTACTCTTAAGCTTCTGTTTACAGCTACCATCAGACTCATTATTTACAAGGTAAAAGAGCTCTAGGGTGGATTTGCCACCTCGACTCTCATGGTGTCTAATCCCCTGTCTCCTTTCTGCCCCGAACCCTATTCTGTTTTTAAGAAGAGACTGTTACCAAAGGTGTGTGAGAGACATGCAGTGCTGGCCATCAGCTTCAGTCTGGAGAGACCATCCTTGAATCCTGATAGTTATTGTCTTTAATTTATTTTGACAGTTCTTTCCTGGCCCTGTGAAGACTTCGTCTACCTGTATCTTACTTTCCTTAGAAAGGTTTGTGTACTTTTATAAGTCCATGTATTTTTCAGAACGCTAGCAAGAAGCTCTGTTCACAGTTTGATGTGTCTCCCCACCTTACAGAATTATGCAAAAGGACTCCAGAAAAGCCTAGGAGAGTGAGTCCTGCTTGACCCTGTGACTGTGTGATGCACCAGGACAGTTCCAGCGGTTATAAAATTTTGCTGTTCCCACACACCCAGCTTTTTGTGTTTTCTAGGTTGAACTTTCTGGGTATATTCTTTTCCTGGCCACAGGTCACAGATGTTTTGGTTGTTGTTGTCGATACTCATAAGGAACTAAGCTGGGCACCAGGAGATGCCTTTGTGTGCTGGAGAGATTGGTGGCAGAGTCAGGTCTAAAAAAGAGCGTTCTGGTCCTGGCCGTTCTCCCAGGATGGGCAAGGACTGGCAGGGGCCTGAGGAGAACAGTGGCCTCTCTGTATGACTGCCACTGTCTTATGTGACAAGCCTGTCAGGAAAAGATCATGGAACTTGAGTAAAGTCTGTAAATTCAGTATGTGTTTACGGGACAGAGGTTGGAAGGAAAGGACTAGGGTCTGGAAAACAAGAATTTCTCCTTTTTCTTATGAGGTCCCTTGCTGACTTTTCTAACAGCCGCAGGTTAATGTCAGATTGAAAATATGAGCCCGTATTGCCAGATGGGCTCCTGAATTTGCGAAGCCTCTACCTTGAGAAAATGAAACTCTTTTAACTTGTGATCAGGGAGGGTTACAAATAAAGAAATGTCTTAATTCCAACTTCAGCTTTCAGCTGGAATGGTTGCCTCTGATAAAGCGAGGACCTTGGAAGTGTAGAAACAGAGGTCTCTTTCTTCCAGGACTGCTGTTCCTCCTTCAGTCTGCATTAACTTGTCCAAGCTCAGAATTCTAAAGGCTGGTGAAAGTGTGTTGGGATTGCAGAAGGAGCCAGTTTCTAGACCATGGTGTCTCCATCACAAAGAGGACCGCAGATTTTCTTACCTGGCTCCTGGTCTGGGAAGTCCTTCAGAGATCTGCATCGAGCCGTCTCCTCATCCTGACGAAGGCGTGCCCTTCTGACAGCAGGATAGGCTAAGCTGTTAGGTATGGTCCAAGTGGCTTGCTTCCCCTTCTGCTGTGGGGTTTCATCTTGGATGTCAGTGTGGTTTCATAAGGCATATTTGGTCAGGACTAAGAAAGCTTCCTGCCAGATAAGCAGTGACACCTGAGGACTGGCCTTTCCAGTCCTATTGAGACACAATTTGCTGACCCCAGGATCAGGAAGCGACTAGCAATGTGACCTCCTTTTTAATGTGTATGTTTGTGCTTCTAACGGTTCCTCTTGCATTCTAACTTTTCTCCATCTATTTTATGTTGTGAGGTGGGAGCACAGTTGTCACCCAGACCACAGGTCCAGCTGTAGTCAGTTTGCCAGCTCCTTAGCAGGAAATGCATGTGGGTCTTACTGGGTCTTCAGTGAAGAAAGGCTGGACTCAGACTTTTCCTCTTAGGAGAGGTTATGGATGCAAGCCAGACTAGATACCTTTACCTTTTCAGGATGAGGCTGGTATTGTTATAAGTGATGATCTTGATGTTGAATTTAAGCCACTACTCTTTAAGTTTTTGTTTTGTTTTGTTTTTATTGGCAACTGGAAGTTTAAGTATAGAAACAGAACATGTATTTTTAACAATTGGTAATTCTGACTGGTCCCAGTGTTATTTTATTAGTGATTGATTTTGTGGTTATTGGACTCTTAAACTCCAAAATGAAAAGTATTTTATCTCTTGCTCTTCAAGGAGAAAAAACAAAAGAAATGCCTTTTAGTTTCTCCAGCCCTTTGAACTGCAACAGAGAATTTGATGGATACAGCCTGGGTCTGAGCGCCTGCAGCTTTGGGTCTTTGGGCCAGTTTCTGACTGCAGCAGTTGACTTTAGGGTATCACATAAGGTCAAACCCAAAAAAATTGTAAGGAAAAGGCTGGACCTTTGCAGCACCTTTAGTTTCCAAAGTCAAAACAGCTGGGGTCTCTTTTATTAAAGTTACAATGCTAATTATGACTTTAAAGTGTTTTTAGAGGTAATCAGCATTTTTCAAATTGTGTATTGCTATAATGGCAAAGTTCTCTCTTGCGTTTGGAGATGCTGGGAAGTAAGGTCAGTCAAACACTTTGACCTCAGAGTGTAAATCCATGTATGTCAGGGAGGAAAGTTGTGTGAAGAAGTAACCAAAGGAAACTTCTGCATTAGCGCTGCTGCAGAGCCGGCACGTAAACACGGAGGCCCAGGACGCCACACTGCCGAGGTGGGCGGGGGCAAGTGTTCTTCGCTGGGGTCCTGGCATCTGCAGAGCCGGCATGTAAACACGGGGGCCCAGGATGCCACACTGCCGAGGTGGGCGGGGGCAAGTGTTCTTCGCTGGGGTTCTGGCATCACCTTTAATAGTGTTGTTTGATTTGGATTATGTTGATGTATGAGCTCAACCAGAGACCTGACAGTTTTGACCAAGATTTGGAGAGCAATTGGGAAAGACTGTATATCCCTGGCCACTCTCTTCTGGGGTAGAGGTAGAGCTCATTCATTTGGGAAGAGGGGGGAGAGAGCAGGAGGACTGGCTGAGGTCTGGTGAGCATCAGGAATGTTGGTTTCCTCCTGCCTTTATGTGAACCATGTGGATTGCTTCCCCTCTCCCTGCCCACACAGATGTTGGGTCCTGGTCCCCGTGTGGCACACAGTGTACTTTCTGCGGCCACTGCTCTGCTGCCTTGCAGATTTCATCCACAGGCTTAATTAGTCACAATTTAGTAAGGTTTTTTCCCCTCTGTTTTTAATCTTCTATTTCGCCCATCTTGAAGCTGCCACTAGTGACAAAGGACAGAGGAATAGGAGGCTGACCCAGGGACATATTCAGGTTTCCTACACAGCCTCTGTACATGGCTCACTGTGTCCTGAGTTGACACTATTCGTGTGTACATGCTAAGTCACCTCAGTCGTGTCCGACTCTTTGCAGTCCTTATGGACTATAGCTCACCAAGCTCCTCTGTTCGTGATTTACCAGGCAGAAATACTGGAATGGGTTGCCATATCCTCCTCCAGGGGATCTTCCCAGCCTAGGATCGGACCCAAGTCTCTTAAGTCTCTTGCATTGGCAGTCAGGTTCTTTACCACACTAGCTCCACCTGGTCTCACTGCCCAGTCCTCCATAGCGATCCACAGCCCAGATTTTGCCGGGGGAGAGGGGGTGTCATACAGTGGGACAGCTACCTACACTGATCTCTACAGGGTGTTACAGGTTCATCACCCTACCCCCAGGGGACAGAAGAGAAATCTACAAAGAAACAGATGCACCATCTTTAAAGAAAAACGCTCTTTATGTTTTGTTATCAGGAGTCTCATTTGTGAGGTCTGCTGAGCTTGCTTTCCCAGCCCTACCTTCTTACTGGCTCCCTTTTAATATTGTAAAATAGTAAGGAAACATTCTAGGCTGTGGAAAATGTTTTCACTCTGTAACTCAACACTAATTAAGAATCTCTCTTGTTGATTGTGGGCCTTCGGAAATGTTTAATGCTTGATAGGTGGTTTCCAAGACAGGGACTTTTTTTTCTAACGCCTTTATTGAGGCATATTATCATAAAGTTCGCCCATTTCAAGTGTACAAGCCAGTGATTTTAGTAACTTTCCTGAGTGGCACAGACATACAATTCTGTTTCAGAGCCTTTTCATCCCCCTCAATAAGATCCTTCATGTCTGTTTACATGGCACCCATGGTACTTGCCTAGCTCTAGGCAACCACTAATCTATTACTATAAATTTGCCTTTTCTGGACATAATCTCAGTGGAATCATACACTCTGGTCTCTTGTATCTGGCTTACTTCATTTAGTGTATTTTTGAGGTTAATCCATGACATGTAATTTATGACATGTTACTGGTTTGTTCTTTATTGCTAAATAATATTCCAATGATGGATAAACCACATTTTGTCAGCAGGGAGTCTTACT